TCTTCCAGCGTGCTTGGCTGCTTTTTTCTCTTGGTTTTTCAAAGTTCTTCCCTGTTCCAAATGAGTAGCCTTGTGTGTAATGCAGGACGAAGGTACTGCACTCGGGTAGGCTTGGGACATTTAGAAATAATTTATCTACTTCTTTGAAATATCTGAGAGATCATCTCTTTCTTTTGACACAGAAAAGAATTTATATGTAAATATTTTGATTTAAATACTTTAAGTATATGGAAAAATAGAATAAATGTTCGGTTTCCACTATGCTGTATAAGAGCTGTAGGCAGAGTAGTTTTAGGAGGGGCAGGAGCTGTATTGTCCATGTTTTCCACAAGTTTTGAGGTGATTAAGTACTTTTCCTTTTAAAGGTAAGAATAATTATTATAGAATTTATTTCTTGAATCCATACTCTTGCCTACTGACTCCTGGAGCCTGCTGCATACAGATGAAGTTACTGAAACATATAGTTCACACTAAGATGAATAGCTGCATAATTAAGTAGGACATGCAGGTTTAGAGGCTCTTTCTTAAAAAAAGCTTCGGTTTTACCTGGAAGATATCTCTAAATTGGTAGAATTCATTAGGCAAGGATATCTCAGTTTCAGATGAAATAGTCATAATTCATCCAATTAACTTTTAGAACAGGGGGATCTTTTAGATTCAGTGCTGCTTTTAAGTGATTGAGTGGAGTGGTGATGCAAAGCCTTAGCATAACAGAAATTTACCTTTGCTTTGGTGAAGTGGTTTAAATTACTCAGTTTTTTAGTGTCCCAAATTAGTCATGTGCAGTAGTGTGAACTTGGTAGTGTGACTCTGTTACAACTTTTATTTGCAGAGGACTAGGGTTGCTGATAAGTTATCTGCAGAAGTATTTGGTATTTTGATGTGGTTTTAAAGTGTCTGTAGCTCTTGCTGCTCATTGCAGCACTTGTAGACTGCAAGTTTCCATTCAACTTCGGAGAGAATAACAAGAAAATTCTAGTAAAAAGTGTAGGTTTTTAGCTCCCTTGTAGAACAGCTGGTAATACTATATGTAACAGTATTCTGAAATTTTTCTTATTAAAATATTACAGATAAAGACAGTTAACTCCATTTTAAGATAAAAAGCATTTAAAAGGCACATAACACCCTGTGAACATGAAAAGTAAATAAAGTCAGAGTATTCTAATACAGAGTTGAATTAGTTTTTTTGCTCATGCAGATGAATACAATATTAGACTCTCTGCATTGGAGAAGGCAAGTTATTCAGTAATGTTAAGACATCCCCAATAGAATGTAGATTTGGTTGGTCAGGTCAAAGGAATAATGTGTTTTATATGGATGTTTTTTGCATCTTGGTTAGGTTAGGGATATTTTTATATTAGGTGTATTTCCTGCACTGAATGGTCTAGTTTAGAATTTTTGAGTATTTGGTAGATTCAGTTTCATCTTGATTATTACAGTTGAGAGCAGCAAATGCAGGGTATCGTGGCTTATGTCATCTGTCCTACACAGTGAATGTGCTCACACTTTACAAAAGTTGAATGCAGTCGCGATGATTACTTTCCATTGCGCTGAGCTGTTCATCAGCCTTTCAGATGGAGCTAGTAATAATGATTTTAACTTTTTGTGCTCTGAGTCAACTTGAGAAGCTCTTAAACTGCTCCAGGTTATCGGTGCATTGAGTATTTTTTCAGGGAAGGTAAATACTGCTCTTTAACCTATTTCCTATACAAGAGGAAAATAACTTTTAATTTTATTTTTTTTTAGTCCAGGAATTTATTCTTTGTGCCAGTACTTCTTAGCTTACTGAGTATATATATTAAATAATATTTGCATGTGAAAAGTTTTCTTATTTTCTGTTTGTATCATTTTGCATCTTCAGGATACAGCTTCTACTAAAAATGTCTTCCAAATTTTGCTTGTCAAAAACATGATTTTGGCTTTATTTAAAAAAAGTCTGCTGTTTTTCACCTTTCATGATCCATGTTAAACCTAAGTTAGATATATGGATTGCCTCCTAGGTGGTTTGGTTTTGGGGGGTTTTTCCCCCCTTTTTTCTTACACCTTCATCTGGAAAGGGAAAAGTGTTGTTGGAGAAACCCCTTTTCCTACTGGAGATAGTAGTTCTCTGTTTCATTCCTTTTTCGTTGGGTGGGTTACCCAAAAAAATTGAATTTGAGTTACAGCTAATTTTCATTGCTGAAAAACAATGTCAAAAGTCTGTAAAATTGCATATAGCTTTGGTCAGAGAAAGAACTGTTTCATTTAGATAGTCGTAAATGTTGTGTTTCTAAATTTGAAGCTCGTTTCAAAACATTAGAATTCTTGGTTATAAACTTATCTTTTTTCCCCAACCTGAAGTCAATTTTTGGCTCCTAGGTCATGTAAAAAAAATAAAATAATTTGTGAGCTGAAAATAATCTCAGGGGGTTGTTGGGTTTGGTTTTTTTTTTGCTTTTTGGGGGGTTGGGTTTTCTTGGGGTTTGGGGTTTTTTTCTCCCCAGTAGTGGAAGCAAAATGGATCATTTGTTTGTTCTGCGCAGCCTTGGTCAGTGCTGACTTTTGGAAAGAGGCAGAAAAGCAGGTTTTCAGTACGATGCTGATGACCTCTACAAGCCCAGTGCCTCTCTTAACAGTGTATTACCTGAAAACTTCAGCAGGGCCTTAAAAACCCGATGTGCTTTCAGTAAAAGAAGGAATAATGCAATAAGCCACTCCAAAGTGGACATGTTTGGTTTCAAAGAATTAAATTAAAAAACACAGATCAATTGTGTGTGTTATCTTCAACCCTCTTCCCCAAGTTTCACTGCAAGTGGCACTGAAGCAACAATTCCCTTTCATGTATAAAGACTAAGTTTTATTCCATCTCGCAATGAGAACTGTTACATAGCCCAAATATTTTGTGGTGATTGCCTGGATTTCCTCAGAAGATAATCAAATTATAAACTTCAGCAAAGTTGGAGCATTTTGACATTGAAAGCTTTGAACTTGGAGCAAGCAAATCAGTGTAATTTGAAGCTCGATGTCTGCAGAATATTCTGGCCTTTACTTACTTTTTTTGACAGAATCAAAGAATTTTATGCCCAGTAAAATAAAGTATTTTCAAAGATTTGGATATTTTCCTGCTATCCATTTTCACATTAAATTGTTAAAATGGAGAATGTACTACCATTATTATTATATGCTTGGTTTAGTATTCTTCTGGGATGCTCTAAAGTCTGTTTAGTATCTTTTTCTCACTGAGAACTTGAAAAAACTTTGAAGTATAATGTGTAAGGATTGTGGCTGTCTTTTCCTCACTCCAGTGAAGATGCTTTTTAACCAGTGAAATGTGAAGATTACATTAAAAAACTTCATATGTACTAGTTTACCACGTAATTTTATGGTAAGAAAAACGGTTGATTTTTGAATATTTTTATTTTATTTATTTATTCATAGTCTGCCTGATGTGTGGGTAAATGAAAGTGAACGACATCAGTTAAAAACTAAAGTAGTTCATTTATCAAAACTACCAAAAGATACTGCCTTGCTTCTGGACCCAAACATATACAGGTAATGTCCTAATTTTGAAACTTTCTTTACTTAAATAGAGTCTTAAGCCTCACTTAACTTTTTGACGTTGGAAAACAAGGATTGCTAATACAGTGTACGTGAGACCAAGGAGCCTTAATCCTGTCAGCGTCCAGGAGTTAAGTTCAGAGGTCTTAAGTTGTTTCAGAATTACTTAACTTCTTGAACTGAACTCTAGTTACTGAGAAACGGGGAATGTGTGTATTTACCAAGTGTATTTTACTTTTTTGTGCTTGGTGTACAGAAATTCTAGTAAAGGAGGTACATACAGTGGAATCCTGAAAGATCACTTCTGTTAAGATCACATACTGGTTTGTATACCAATTTTTTTAAAGTCCAAATTTATCTTTACATATTTTATATTCAACTGTAATACATGCAGTATTACCTTGAAATCTGTACTTGTATACAAGTACTGTTATTTTTAATACAAGATTCTTTAGAGGGGGACAGAAGAAACAGTACACGTTACTTGTCTTTAAGCTGCATTCACGTTTGTGTTTTTAGGACTTCAGATTGGCTTCTAATCCATCTCGTTTCTAATAATTTCCTGATTTTCTCCCCTCTCTCTTTATTAGTATGCTCACATAATTGTCAGTATCCACAGTTCTGTGTATGTACAGTTTTTAAAGGTAATCTGAAATGCTTAATTCACTCTTAAGTTTCTGAATATCCATAGATGCGTAATTATGGGCTTATATTAAAAATTCATGAAAATAGGTTGGGGAGGAAAGTGTTTTCTGTCATAACAGAAGTTCAGCGTTCCTGTGTTTCTTCCTTAATGTCCAGTGACCTAGTGTCGAAAGGAGTAACTAGAACACTGATCTGAGGACTTGATATGTGATAAGCCTTTCAGTTCACCTTTAATATTTGGTGTTGATTTCACTAATCAAATTAATGAAAATTTGGTTGACAATATGAAAATAAATCATTCTACAATATCTGCTATCTTTGTAAATGTAAGTATTTAAAATACTTACTTTAGTGTATGAATTACTGATGTTAACAGTAAATCATAAAAATATTACGAGGAAATTGGATTGTGTGTTTTAAAACTGCTTAACACAGTGACTGTTTCATAATCTAATTTAGGTGTTAATCATCTTTATATTGACTGCTTTCACAGAACTTGATAGATTAGTTTGAAAAACATAATGATTTTTGGGATTAAGTTCTTAGAGAAAAATAAGCAACTGTTTCTACCTCTCCCAAATAAAATTAAGGTCCCCTTATCTAATGTTGTACTAGACTTTTAGCAGTATGGATCAGTGTGTGATTAAAAAGAGCTTTGGGACCAACTGTGGGAGATCAAAGAAATTAAGCTGAAGACCAAATCTTTGCAAGGGAAAAAAAAAGTGGTTGAGGGAATTCAGCGACAGCTGAATGTCATACTAAAATGATGACTCCAATAGAAAGTTTGAAATAATTACCTGAAATGTATGCTAATATGAGATCATCTAAAAAGGCTTTTAGTTTTAATCAAATTAAGTAAAAGTAGATTTTATATAGTCATGATTTCGTAGTAATCTCTAGCTGACTCAAATTTACATCTTGGTGTCTTTGTGTAAAACTGTACTGTCTTCTTTTACAGAACAATGCCCCAGAAGAGGTTGAAGAGGTAAAAACCAAGCAAGTGGGGACACCTGCAGTCTTAGTCACTGACAATGGATTTAGAAATAAAGTTGCAGGTTAGTCAAATCCCATCCTTTTTTTTTTTTTTTTTCTCTTAGATAAATATTTATGCTTAGTGTAAACATTCTGTGAATGAAGTTGATGCTTCCGTGGAATATATTAATATATTACTGTATATCCACATTTTCATGGAATGGTACAGTGGGAGACTGAGCAAACACTCTTCTGGCAACTTAGTGGAACAACTAAAAGGCTTTGCATGCTTGCTTCTTTAAGCTGCTTTTTTCTTTAGTGAATACAGTAGTTTATAATTGATGAAAAGAAAAAGTAACCATCACCATTTACTCACAATTCCCAGGAGAACTGTTAACAAGTTATTAGAATTCTTGTCAATGTTAACTAAATATTACACATGCCAGACAATGTGACAGCTACCAAGGGATTATCCTGTTGCCCTTTGAGTATGGTGGATAGTAATCATTTGTCATTTGTAATCTCGTGTCCTTTTGCAGATCCCTAAAATATGTTGGATTATAATGTTTAAACAAATGTTGATGGAATGCTTGTCTTTTCCAATCAACTATGAATACATATAGTACGGTTTAAAGATGTTAAGAGTGTTGCAGTATGTCTGAACCCCTTTTCAGGAGTAGTGTAGTATGTTAATGAGATCTGCTTTTATGTGATCCATATCAATGGACGGTTTTTGAAAAACCTCTACTTAAGCAGTTAGTGTTATTGGTGTTTTATTTTACTTTTTTGACCCTTTAGGATCCCCATTCACTTGTAAAGTATACTTTTTTATTTGGCCTAATGTTTTCTAGATGTAAAGAAAATGGTATTTTTTAAAAAAAAAAAAATCTAGAAATTCAATCCTTTATGCACCAAAGTTGGCTTTGAAAAGGAAAGTAAAATCATTTTCTTGCTTAATAAGCAAGAAGCCATGGATTTTTTTAACTGACAAATAGAGATGTGTCTAACCTGTTAGTCTTTGTATGGAGACAAAAATGTTGCATATAGATAATAGGACATTGCTTGTAAATATTTCAGCAGATTTGTAATATATTTTTATATTATGAAATGTACTGTAGATGTTTTTCTAGAGGCATGAAAGTTAAAATGTATATATTACGGTAGAAATAATATTGAAGGATATTGTAATTCACTAGTGCTGCCAGAAGAATTGTTTTAAAAAAGCACCTTCCTTAACAATAAAAAAACCTTCTTTTACATACCTAAGGGACTATATACTACTGTTAATATCTGTTGTAAGAACAAAAAGACATTGAGCATCCTTCCCAGAAATCTTAGAGGGATGAATAGTACCCATAATTAATTCATGGCACTCCTTTCTAATAGTGAACATGAAATTAGTTTTTTCCTTACTATTGGAAGGAACTAATATGTAAAATTTGTATGGATATATGCAGTCAAACTGCAGAGTTAGTCCTCCTTATTGGGGAGGAATTTACTACAGTGAAACTAATAACCAGCAGTTTTTACACTAAATTTTTATTAAATAGAATAAAACTTAAAGTAACCCTTTGGTTGCAGAAGTGAGCATATTCCTAATATAATACAAATGCATTCTGCATTGGTACTGACACGAGAGTCTTGCTTAGCTCCAATGGGTTAAAAATGTTACTTATATACACACAAAAAAAAAATCTTATCAAAGGAAATGAAGTGCAGATTAAAAGCACCACTAATATAAGATGTTCTGGAATGGTTGTTTAATAAGGGTATTATTCATAAAATCTGTAGTGATGTGACTTTATTTTTGAAAAAATGCAGTGTTTTGGTTTTGTTTTTTTTTTCGCTTGAGCACTTCACCTACTGCTTTTTCTGTACCTATAAAGTAATCCGTAATCTTCATTTCTTTTTTTGAATTTGTTATAAAATTGCCAAATAGAAGTGTTTCAGATATAGTTTGTATTTGTATTTTTTTAATTTTATTGCTTCATGAGTTTCTTGTAAGTCATTTATAATTGACAGATGATTGTAGACCTTGCCTGAGTATTTTTTCTAATAAAACAAAGCAAACAAACCTCATTAGCTTCAAAATTGTAAGATTTCAATGACATTTTCAAAGATAAATATAAAAATGACAGTATCTCTGTTTCCTCTGTAATTAGTAACACGCATACCTTTACAAAATGGAGACGTAATGGATTCAAGTCATGTATTGTTCATGTAAACTATGACTTTATTTTCTTGGGTTTGAGAAAAGTATTATCTGACGTTCTCATGGTACAGCTTCTGCCTTGGAAAGAAAAATCAGTTTAGGTTCAAAACATCTGTGAACAAATGGATATATTGGAATTAATTAAACTTTCCATAGTAGTCAAAAGGTAAGTGGACTTTTGGCTGTTTTTACCTTGATGCTAATGCAGTGAATTGCTAAAACTATTTATGCTTGAAAACTCTTTGTATGCTACAGATTATGTAATTACTTGGTGGTGTTTTGTTTCACATGACAGTCACATGTCTCAAGCTCTGTTTCAGTTTTTGTGTGTGTCCCTGGATGAATTTCAGTTTATCAGAGTACCAGATACATGGTACTGGCACAGCGTGCTGGGAGGCATTGGTCACTTTGTCTGAAAAAAAATCTTATTGCTCTTATTGTTGTTCTTGAAAAGTGTTAATGAAATAATTGCCCCCTCTACTTTTGAGTAGATCCACGTGCTTTCTTTCAGGCTGTAACATATAGAGGTTCCCTCCTGGCTTTCTCAAACCCATTATTTTTACAATAGATTTTCCAAATACCTACAGAACGCATTCCCTCCCAGCTGGAGTGTTTATTTTCTTTGTGGAGAAATGTCACCAAGACGAATCTGTAGTTATTTTACCTTTTGCTGCAGTCTGTTTCCAGACTGCTTTAATGAGTAACTATATCAATATCCTAAATTTACACTTTTTTGCTTAGAGGTTCTGTATTATCTTTAACACGTTACAGAAGGTGAGCAAAAGAAAATGACTAATCTTACAGTTAAATCATGGCAAAATACACTGGATTGTGTATTCCACGAGGAGAGGCTGAGGGAGCTGGACAAGTTCAGCCTGGAAAAGAGAAGGCTTTGGGGGAACCTAACAGCAGCCTTCCCGCACAAAAGAAGGTACAAGAAGGTGGAGCCAAGCTCACTTAGAACTGCACAGCAGGAGGATGAGAGTCAGTGGTCATAAATTGAAATGGGAGATTTTTTTCACTGTAAGGGTAGTCGAGCGTTGGAACAGATTACTTCCAGAGATCCCAGAAATCTCCATCCTTCATGGTTTTCAAGATCCAGACAAAACCTTGAGCAACCTGATCTGGATTCAGTGTTGTTGCACTGAGCAGGAGGTTGGACCAGATGCTGTCTTCATGTTAGAGGTCCCTTCTAACATGAATTACTCTGTTTCTGTGACTGGGAGCGAAGGAGGCTTTCTCTTTCAGCCCACATGCTCAGGAAGACCTCAGCTATGTTTAGATCATGTTAGCAGGCTGTTCGTAGATCGTGGCTAGAGTTCGAGCTGGTTGAATTGAAAGCTGATCAGCTGGGGCAGTAACTTAGATCCGGGCTTGCTTCTGCGTTTGTTTTGGCCTGCTGTATGCTTGAACCCCACTGGTGTGATCGTCTTAAGGTGGATGCTGATGCTTGAGGATGTGGGTCAGAAAAAGAGCATGGGAGGGAATGTTTATTCCTTTGCTGTTGGGTGATACCAGCCAGGGTTTTCAGAAATCTCAAATGTGTTTGTGGGTGGCTTGGGTTACCTTACTTCTGGGACACCTTTAACGAGGAGGTGCTAAATCAAGCTCTTTGAAAGTCACGCTTTTTAGGAGTTGTGGTGCACCCAAATATCTGCCCAAAATCACCAGTCCTTCTGGAATGTTGGTTTGAATTTTACAGGTTTTTCTGAGGCACAGTAACAGGATTTTTGAGTGAGGAGTGCCGTTTTGGGCATGAAGAACATATCTGCCTTTTGCTGAAGTGGATGGAAGTTTTTGTCTGGGAAGACTTCCCAGCATTTGGGCATAGCATGCAGCTGACTGATGCTAGATCTCATTCTATGCACTAAAGCACTTTAATAGACAGAGCAGAAACACATCAGTTCTTTTCCGATACTTATGTTGCATGTAAGTTTCTCTGAAGTTACTGTGATTTTTCAGATTTTGGCCAAATTGTATTATATACAACACTGTATGTTTTTCTTGACTTCTATATTTGAAGTAATTGTATCAGTAGTTTCCAATTTAAATTACACATTAACTCTGAACTAGCTTCATTCAGGAACAAATAGGTTAATTATGTTTGAATTTCCTATTATTAAAAACAATGCAATTTAAGTGGTTGGTTTCTGTTGCTTTCAGCTTTTTCGTGAAGACTGTGAATTGGTTATCCTAGAAAACCAGTCTTATTTAATATTGCAGTCTGAAAGTGATGATATATCCTCACTTGATGCTTTCTTGCCTTGATGTTTTAAAATTGCATATGAAACTATCATAACTATTTCTCTTGTCGCATTAATATATGACAAGTACAACAGAAAAAAATTTCATCAGAAAAGTTGGCTTTTAGAAAAGCGGCTGAATCTATGATTTCTTTCAGTCATTTTCTGTAAGCTGTTAGTAGACATTCTGTGAATGGCCTGTATATGCACATGGCTCTGAAAGTTAAATAAACAGTTTGATCACTAAACCGAGATATTCTAAACAAAACATTCCAGCAGCAGAAGATGGTCCTAACATCACACGGATTTTATTAGTCGAGTAAAGATGCCCTTAGATCTGTTAGTTAGCCTGGTGTTTACTTATTCCAAGCAAAGAATACTCTAGGGGAAACTATGTTGCTTCAACTTTTTAATAAACATTGCTGAAGTACGTACTGGGGAGGGAAGCCCCACCTGCTCTACTGTTTTGAGCAATACAATGGGAAAAATATTATAAAATCAAGACTATCTATTTGTTCATGCCTTTTCAATAAGACCCCTTTTTCTTTGTGCTTGCAATTACATAAACCAAATTGAGACTAAAAGAATGAATACTCATATTAATACAGCTGTAGTCTCCTAGTGCTTGTAATGAGGAGAATCAGGTATAAATACTAGAGGTGAACCTCTCCAAGTATATTTATGAGAGGAATTATTACAGGGCTGAAGGTCTTCAGTATTATAATCTATTATAATATTTTTTTTCTAATATGGGATGAACTAAAATCTGACCAACAATAAAACCTCATATTACTGGAAAATCAAGATTTTTTTTTTTTTTCCAACCATCTATTCTGTTAATGTTTCCCTGAATATAGCTGACAAACTAGAAAAAAAACAAATAGTTTTAGATATGCTGTCAAATTGCAGGTTATCTCCTGGAGCCGGGGGTGAGGGGGGGAAGGAAGAGATTAATGTTTTGTGTTTAAAGCAGAACGTTGGTTCCAGGAGACAGGGGCTGTGAATTTACTCTTTCCAGGTAAGAAACTGTGGTGATGAGCCATAGACCTGTGTTGCAACCTGTATTTTTGGATTTTGACTGGAAATAGCAATACAGAGGATTTGCTTTCCTACTGT